TGTACTGCGACACACCTCCCTCCTTAAGTTTATAACCCCCTAGGAGCAGGGCACGGGAGTGTCCTGTGACAGGGGGCATGTGCCTCCTCTGAGAGTGAGTGCTTCGGCTGGTAGGGGGGCACGAAGAGCGCTCATGCCCCCCCTGAAATTGGCTCCATGCTGCTGGGACTCCTTCCCACCCCCAACTAATTGCTGGCTGGCCACTGAGCCCCCCACTCCCTGGTCATGCCCCGCTGGTGACCCCCAGACTGAGCTGCTGGCCCAGCCCCTTCCCCCACCTGGCCCCAGCCTAGGGGCAGCAGGGATCGCCCCCCCCCACCACCCAGCATCTACGCGGCAGCTGCCCCATGGCGCAGGTGCAACGTAGCTCAGCAGGGTGCTGCATGCTCTTTGGGAGCTGGGGCCACTGGGGCTGAGCAGTGCCGGGCTCCAACTGACAGGTGGAGCTGTCCCAGCTCCCAGACAGTGCACAGTGCCCTGTCAAGCCATACTGCACCCACACCATGAGACAGCTGCCACGCAGGTGCCAAGTGGGGGGATACCCACTGCCCCCACCTCCCACTGCCCCACGCTGCATGGGGGGGCTCTGCCACGAGACCTCAGAGGCCCTGATGCCTACTGCTGGAGCCGGTGAATTCAGGGGTGTTTTTTTGTGGGGGAGGTTTAAGTGCCAGGACTAGGCTGGGGCCGGGCAGGGGATGGGGCCGAGCAGGGCAGCCATGGGGGCTTCTCCCGTGGTCCCCCCCAGTGGGACAGACACAGGCACAGCTGGAGGAGTTGCGTCCCCACCCCTCCCCCTGGCTGTGCCCTGCTGGTGCCCCCCCCAGACTCGGGAGGCACCAGTTGCCCATGCCTGAGCTGCTGGCCAGGGCAGGTTTTTATACAGCTAGGGCCAGCACAGGTGCTTGCCCTGGGCTTTAGCTCCCCTTGGCTGCAGATCCAGGAGGAGCTGGGCAGGGTTATTTTGCCCCAAGGGGCACAATTTGCCCCATACCAAAGTGCACGTCTGGGCACATGCACTGAGGCAAAAAGCCCTGACTCAAATCTGTGCCGCTTCTATTTGAGCTGCTGCAAGCGCACGTGCTTGCATGTGTGGACATGCCCACAAAGTTTCATTAATAAACTACTCACCTTACTGAATTACTGAGAATTAAAGTTCATGAAGAATTAGGGGCTATTATGATAGGGAACTATTAAGGGGCTGAGGGGGGAGAAAATGGAAATTTTTTTTTATGGGAATTAAAAGCATTCCTAGCAATGCTTATCATTTTGTTAAGTAGCACCACAGAAGAAAAAGAGTGGTTAGAAAAAGATTTATGAACTGTAAATTATGTCAGACAAATCTGAGTATTAACAGAAAAAAATGGTAGAGCCCCATTCTGCCATTCTTATACCTAGGCAGTCCAGTTGATTTCAACAGGATTCCTTTAAGAGTAAGGAAATATTATCATTGAGAAAATTTGTCCCTAATTTAGTGGATAAAAGAAATGCTGTCAAATTTAAATGCCTCTGGATTTTAGTCAAGGCCAGAGGGCCTTAGACAAAACTCTCTTGACACATGGGCCTCAAACCTGATGCTGTTCTGCATGCTAACACCTATATAGCCCCACTAACCATTTTTTCCTCAGGCTTAGCAGTTATGTTCTACTGAACACTTAAATCAGCTGAAGAAGGTAAACTAAGAAGTGTTGTAAACTACTTGTTTAATATAATGACAGGACTTACATAAAGAGAGAATCCTTTGTTTTCTTTTCCTTTAAGAGTGCAATGCTGGGCTTCTTGGAATATGAAATTCCAAATTCTGAGTCATCCAAGTCCTCCCAACTGTCTGTAGTCTTTAACAAAGTCTGCCCCCATCTTCTCCTACAATTTTTAAGACCCACTGAACTGTTTTGAGGGCCACTGGCTCCTTGGTTCTATTTTGAACAGAAAAAAAAGCTTTAAAATCATTCTCTAATTTTATATTTAAATTTCTAGTTAATTTCCTCCCAGAATGTACCAAAAGTGTTTGGAGAGCATTTTTATTCCTCGTGTGAATATAATCTGTGATCTAATCTTGGAATGCTTCTAACAGGCAGTAATGTCAATGTAATTTCTGTATGTGGCTTAATTCTGGGATCAAGCCCCAATTGACCAAATGTGCCTAAAGCAGTCCCATTTAGGAATCATACTGGGACCTACCTACTGGGCCCAATTCACTTCTTCATACAAGCCTGCAGAACCTTATGCCTTAAACCCCTGGGAGATGAAAGTTGGTCAGAAGAGGAGGCAACACTAGTGTAGGTTACTCACAACAGTCATAACACGAGGGGTCAAATGCCAAGTGAACAACTCCCAATAGTGAGGCCCATCTTGGGAAAGATGGTCAGGTCAAAGAATTCTTTCCACAATTCCCTCTACCACTGGATATTCTATGAAGTTCCAACCAGGTTTTAAAGCTACCTTCATTCCCCTGTAGATGAATCATCCCTTTGCTGAATTCTGGAAACAACCATCATCCCCATCCTTTAAAAACCAACCAACCAACAATGGTTTTGCAGTCTTCAAATCATCAAAATATTAAAAGTTCAGGAATTAATTTATCATTTACAGGTTGAAGAGTCTGACCCTGAGAAGTACTGCATTCAGTGACATTCATAGTATTTAAATATTACTTGGGCAGTCAGTATAAGGTCTAATAGAAGCTCACAGACCATAGTTGGAATACCGTCTCATAAATAACAGGGCTACAAGGCCCTTCTTAAATCTCTAATCCAGCTTCCTGCTTCAACCAAAAAATGCAACAGTTTACCTCTTCATGTGGTTATTTAACCTTTACTGAAAACTCCTTATATTCATAGTTCCTTTATAAATAATTTATCAAGGACCAATAAATGATTAATAGATGTTACTGCTCATGTCTGTCATAAGTGCAACAAATGTTACAAAGTGCATTGATAGGAGTTATAATGATGATTTGTAAGCAACTTATTGTTCTGTCAGATACCATAACAATTAACCATTTATTAAAGTATTAATTACTTGTTAACCCTTGATAATCTATTTACTGATGGACTTATAATAGAAAGTGTCATCCTTTTTTCTTTAAAGATGTCTAGTAGTTGTACTATAGGTAACTCATCATTTTCATATGCAATTGTTTTCACAGCATATTCCATTATGTGCTCTGTTAATTGGAAACAACTTACTGGTGATGAGCATTTGTTGATGGTTGGAAGAAATGGCTGTGGCTGTAGGGGCTGCTGCTGTTTGGAGAGCTGTTGGTTGGTTGTATTCTGTTGTAGCTGAATTTGCTGGAGAGGCTGCTGATTAATCTTTGACACAGGCTGTGGCTGAGCATTGTCAGATGCATCAGGTGAAGACAGAGATTCTGGCTTGGATACAGAATCTAGTTTTGATACAGGTTCTAATTTGGGTGGAATTGGCTTTGGCTCAGTTGACTGAAGTGGTTTAGCAGGACACTGTTTCTGTTCCAAATATTGTGGAGGAGGTCCTAAAACTTGGCCAACTTGAAAATAAGGATACCTCAATGCCTGAAAAAGAATGAAATATATTGAATACATTCTACAGTAACAGAAATGCAGTGCCTTCTTCACTCACTAGAGGCTTCTACATTTATATATGCCAAATCTAGAGCACAGGTGCGAGGTGGACATAAAATGTCCTCATATGTCTAAAATGGGGTAAATGGAAAGGTATAAATTTGAGATTTGATCCAGTGGGGAAAAGGGGTAATATAGGATGGGTCTGATGGTGAATGTTGTGCAAGAAAGGGTGCTGAAATCTAGCTGACAGTTTCTGCAGGGCTGCTGCAGGGGAGTGCACGTGTAGACATGTTCCCAAAGAAGGCTTACTGCATAGTAAGCCTAAAGTGTATTAATAGCATATGTAGATGCACCCAGTGCAGTGCAATGCCACGTGGAGATATGCAGTCTAGTTGCACCAGTGCAGTACCTAAGCTAATTACTAGTTCTCTGGAGAAGCAAGGTTGATTAGCCTGGCTGGAGTGGAACACTAGTGCAGCTATACTGCTTCTGGTAACTGTATTAACACACTTTAGCTTGGATAATGGCACAAGACACTGCACTGTCCTATGAAGATATAATTTTATGATGATATTAGACTCAAAATACTTTGTTAACAGAGTTTAAACATCTGTGGTGCTAGGAAATATATATACTTAGGGGTTTTATTAATTATACAGTTAATTATACAAAGAAGCTTGTCCCTGGTTGCTTAGTAAGGTTCATTTTGCATTTAATAATGTAAATAAGGCTTAGTTCTGATATACCACTTTGCATTCATAGACCTAAAAGTAGTTTACAAAAGAAGGCTTTATTATTAACCTTTTAAAAAATATAATGGAGTGGGTGAAAGGCAGCAAAGACAAGGTAACTGACTTGCTCAAAGTTATAGCAAGTTGGTGGCTAAAATAACCCATGTACCCTGAATATGTGAGCTATTCTCAGATGAAACCAGTGGAAAAGACCAAATGGCAGCAAGAACTTGCAAATTCAGCTATATTACGAGCCACTATATTTGAATATACTGTCCTTTACCCCTCTCTGACTCATGTTTCTCAGATCTACAACATGAGGGGATGATTTTTATGCATATACAGTATTGTGATTACCAACTAGCATCAGTATATAAGACAATTCAAGAATGTAAAGTGCCATAAAAACGATTAGCTGGGTACCTGACTTGCTGTAGGTCGTTTCTTTGGATCCCAGTTCAGCATATCACTCATAAGCCTCAATGCCTCATTGCTAGCGTTTGGAATGAGAGTTTTTAGATGTACAGGGACACACTGAGGGAAGCGGAAATTCATGGTAGATGCAAGTTGGTATCCTTCTGGCCAGTCACTCTGTTAAAGAGAGGGTGGGAGGAATCAATCACAATAAGAATGGGAGTTAAAACACTATATTAATTTTTTTATATATATATTTTTAAATAATTGGTCTGAATTAAACCTGAGGTACATAGCCCAAGTGCCTGAAATTCATCTTGCAGAAGACATTCACAATACCTGCAAATGTCCTAGGGGGAATGCATTACTGACTACTGTGACACACACAGGCTTGACAGAATTCAATTTTTATTTTTTTTAAATTCTGACTGATAATATCTATGTTCTTGTTTAAGCATTTATTTCAATTTTTATTGATTTAAATTTTCAGGATTGTGCAAAATGAGGGGCATGGGGCAGACAATTTATTAACAACACTATACTATTTTTATAGTGCAGTTTCAACGCTTGCCATGACAATGATTAACTATAGGACTACTGCATATGGCTACATATCTTTGACACATTTAAGCTTCTGCTGGGACAGGCAGCATATAAATCAAATAAATGAATAAATAAATGATTCCAAAAGCTAACTGTGCACAGGACTCCCACTGAAATGCAACCTCTCAGCCTGTTCAGTCTGTGCATGACGCTACAAGCCACTAACTGTAATACCGCAACCACTTTCAGATTAATAAACAGGAGTTATGACTCACTAATGGGTTAAAGTAAAGAAAAGAAAGGCTAATTAGAAAGGCGACTATTGTTACATGAAAAAATAACAAGTAATAATGCAAAATGGATTGCATTAAAAATGTGCATTTTTAAAAATTAAGATTTGTGGAAAACCTTGGCCACAGGAGGAAACTGCCTAATGTAACTTTTGTGCCTCTTCATGAAGTAGCACATTTCATTGGCATCAAATATATCATTTACTATGCTAATTATGATAAGATCTAACAATCTCTTCGTTCAGTGCTACCAGCAATCAGATTTTTCACAAGAATATCATAGCATTGTTATAAAGGGACAGCCTCTCAATTCCACCCAGAGGAAGAGACAGCCACAAAGGAGCCAATTTACAGTTTCCTGATCCTGGGGCGGGCTTAATAGCAATCTCAGTCCCTGGAGCACTTCAGAACAGCCTAGAAACTGTTCTAAAGAGGCTGGCTAGTGATGGCCCCCAGAAGGGACCACTATTTAGCTTAGGACCACTGGAGCATAACATATTTCAGATTTGTCCCTACTCAATCACTTACACTGATGGCTGCATGGAAAGCATGGGACAACTGTATACTAGGGGAATCCCTAAAAAAGGGAGACCACTGTTTTCTCTGGCTTCTTTGTATTGCCAAAGCAGCAGAAAAACTTGGAATCACAGCTTAGCATCTAATCCCTCACCTGCTTTCACTCAGTACTGAAAATGTTCCAAAAGTTAATGTTTGGCTTTCTTTAACAGATAGGCTTCATTCACAGCATACATACCTTTCTTCCTTCTGTGTTAATTCTGGACTTGGGCCATTAAAAGAAACACATTTTTCATTACTAGTCAAAGAGGACTTTGATGATGATGAAAACCCAGGAGTTATTCCTGGGTTTATGCTGCACAGTATTTTTCACTGCCAGTTTCTGAAGCAAACTTGTGTCCGTTTACACTTCGTAATTCCTGTGTCTTGCTACAGGTTCAGTTATCACCAGATTCTCTATTACTAACCACTTGCTATTTTCACCTCTTTCAGTATCTCCTCTTGGATACTTTCCCACAACTTCAAGCTCTGTTTACAGCCAATCATACTCTGTCAGACTTACTTTTCTCCCTCACAGACCAGATCCATACCTTATTTTATCTTTGTATGGTGCCTAGATAACTTTAAACACTACAAGACACAAGCCGGATACAGTAATAACATTTTTACCTTTTAGCTAGTGTCATAAGGTTAGTACCATCCTCTCGCTTCTTTTCTTCTCTCTCTCTCCCCCATTACTTCTTTCAGCAGGATCTCACTGCATCACATCAAGTCTACCTCTGACATACCTGTTTGTGTCCATTCCCATTGCTATGTCTGTCATCTTTAGGCTTAGCTACTGGAGTTTCCTTCTCTTTGGCATTCAGGTAATGTACATTATACAGCTGTTCTTCAGTCTACCCAAAATTCTTCAGGTAAAATTGTTTTCCTCCACTTGTCCCTCCCACCATCTCAAACCAATGCCCCAGGAATCCCTTCACTGCTTTTTATTACCTTCTATACCAAGTTTTAACTCCTCACTTCCACCCTCAACATTTCACTCTGCTCTCGTTTAAACCCAGTGCGTTCTCTCATGTTTTACAGTCCCATTCCATTTTTCTTTGTGCTGCTTTGCTTTTCTCATCTTTTCTATTCCAAACTCTGTTATACCACCCCCAGTTATTTGTTTCCTATGCACTAAAAATTGTTCACCTTCACCCATTTGTTCAAGCAATTTCTGGATTTGTGAGTGCACACATGGGCACATGTGCAAATACCATTACACATATGCAGATTTTTACAGGCACAATACTAACCTTTAGTTTTCAAATTTTGGACTTTAAATAGCATCTTTTGCCTGAAGAACAATTTAACTCTATTATGCTGTCAACATTTTTCCTTCTTTGCTAAGAATATTTTATATGAAATCTGAAGTTTTGTATTTTAAGAATTCATGTGCTCCAGCTGCATTTTTCCCCACTTTATGGCATAATTTCTATTTATGAGATCCAAATAATTTGTATACCAATAATTTGGGTTAACACCATGAGAGAATTATGACCTAAGTGAGAAAAAGGCAGCTGTGATAGATGAAATCTTAGAAAAGAATTTCTGCATGTTAATATTTGTAAAGCCTAGACCAGTCTGAATTTTACAATGACAAAGAGTAGAGGCATGTAGAAGTACACCACAAAGAAGGATGCTAATACATAAAAAAGCAATATTTCATGCCCCAACAGAAGCAAACAAAACACTCCAGAAAGAATGAATAATATGGAGAAGCAATCATAAGAACAATCACTTCTACACATCCCTTGAAAGTAAGACGGAATCCAATACAATCCATTTATTTCATTCTCCATAATTCTTACTGCTATATAAGTCTGCACAGCAGCTTACCTTCTTTGGGGCCCCTAACACTTGGCAAATTTTGAAGATTTCATCTACTTCACTTGTGCCTGGGAAGAGAGGTCTTAGTGTGTACAGTTCAGCCATGATGCTGCCAACTGCCCATATATCAATAGGAGAACTATAAACAGAAGATCTCAGCAAGACTTCAGGTGCTCGATACCTATGGAGATGGAAAGAAATAACAGGCCAAATTCAGAAGTAGATGTAAAAGAAAAGGATAAATTAAGATTGTGTTTATGTCACTTACCACCTCGTAGAAACATAGTCTGTGTATGGTGGTTGAGACCTAAGTTCTCTAGCCAAACCAAAATCAGCAATTTTCACAAGGTCTGGCCCCATACACAGAAGGTTTTCAGGCTTCATATCCCGATGGAAAAAACCTGTGAAAATATGTATGGAGGGAGAGGGAAAGGAGGAGGAAAATTATGGCATTGCTTTATTCAGAAGTTCTCTAAGGTATGACATTTGCTTTGGGATTCATTAGAACAAAGCTTTTTGGTTTCTTTTGTTTTTTTAATGAACCCTCCTTCAAAATTAATGTGATTATGGAAAAAAAAAAGAAATTACTAAAACTCTTTAAGCACATTTTAGCATTAATATGCTATCATTAAACACTAAAGAAAACGTATAGCAGCTTTCAAAAAAATGGCTTTTTAATGCTGAACTCCAGGACTGGCAAAGTTCATTGATGGTAATAAATAGCTTAATGGGTTTCTTGAGATTTTAAAAAAAATATTTTAGAATAACTGAAACCAATTTAAAAAATAATCAAAGAACAATCATATTTAATCTCTAATACAGTAAATTGCAACCAGTTCAGTCTGTAACTCCAGCTGCATAGGTTTTTTTACAGTTATTGTGCATTGTCTTAGTCCTCAAAGGACAACACAATTAAACTATCAAGAAACTTACCATGCTTATGGATAAAAGCTAGTCCTTGTAATATCTGATACATAATGTTTCTGATGACTGGCTCAGGGAACAACTTGTTCCTGCAAAGAAACAATTTAATTTCAAGTAATTTTTTTAATCAAAATTTTGATATAACACAGCACCTGCATTTTTGACATTTGGCAAAATATATTATGAAGCAAAAGAACTTCAAGGGCAAAAGAACAAAAGCAAAACATGTATATTAACAGTATGGGACCTAACACGGAACCCTTTTTCAAGAAATCTGATATGGGAGATATGCTTCCATAAGGGCTAAAATGTCAAATTTTGTTTGTGCATGAGATTCATTTGTGTCACCATTCTTAAACCAAAATAAAGAGCATATGCAGTATGTGATATGGTTTAATTTTTTTATGCAAAAAATAAGAATTAAGAAAAACTAGTTTGGGTTGTTTTAAAAAAAATCCATTGCAACTTAGTACACATTGAATTCATGCAATTATCTCATAATGGCTTATCTGGTTGTGTTATTCCAAATATACCAAAAGGTAAACAAGACCGATTTGTTCTCTAGGGATACACAGGTACAACTTCCATCCACTTTGATGGAAGCTCAGGAAACCCTAATGATAGTATGCAGTCCCATATTTTTAGCAATCTGAATCCATTATTGACGGAATGATATTTATACAGTTACATATGCTCAAGATACCACTACTAGTCATTAATAAAACAGAAAATACCATAACCTACTGCTTTACCAAACAGACATACCTGTCTTTCATTAACTGATACAGATTTTCCTTCATATATTCAAACACAAAATAAAGGTAGTCATTTTCTCGGATAACTTCTTTCAGTTTTATTACATTGGCATGATTCAGTTTCTTCAAAGACTGCAATACAGCAAATATATCATCAAAATATGACAGAGGCTTTGGTTCTTTAACAGAACTAAAATGGAGCTATTCCTAAAAGAGAATTTATACATTTTTATGTATAGCTCAATTTGCTAAATGCAGTGCATGTACTTTCTGTGTTTTTTCTCCATGCCTTATTGCACCTCTTTATTTCAGTGTCATTTATAAGAAAATAAATATTTAGGATCAAAATCAGTGTTCACTGTGTCTAGGAAACTAAATATTACACACACACACACACACACACACACACACACACACACACACACACACACACTCTCTCTCTCTCTCTCTCTAGGAAAGAGAAAGTATCAACCTAATCAAATCAGTCACCATGATATAATTAACTTGAAACTTAGCCACCTTTCAGAAGATATGCCAACCTAGGCTACAATGTCATACATACATTACAACAGTGCTATGCCATTCATATGCACCAGATATCATT